ACGATGATTTGATGGGAGACACATCCCTACCTCTAAATGCGCCACAAGGACTAATGTTACGCTGCCATCGCTGAGAGGGAATGAGAGCTGCCGTGATGCCCAAACACGCTCCCCCAAGTTCACCTGAGACACTCGGCTAACGGTGAAGCTCCTGGGAGCTGTGCAAGCGCGGAGCCCTCTCACAACCCATGCCTAGTCCAGCGCTATCACCGAAGGCTTTCAAGGTGATAGGGAGTTAGATAAATGCCAAGCACCATCACATGTAACATAAGCAAAGGTCAGCTGAAGAAACGTGCTGCTGCTGAAGGCTGAATAATCCCGACGTTACAATATGCTTGCTCCTCTTTCAGTGAGGCACGGAAGCGCTGCGACTTGGTGATTAGCATCACACAGGTGTCTCATCAAAATTTTATTCTGTGGGTTTGTGGCAAACTTGTTACAATCAATGTCAACACAGCACATGTTTTATCACCAACAGACTCTCCAACCCTTATAGTAAGGTTAAGAGCAGGTATTTTCCCTAGGTTTATTTGCCTGTCTCAGAAAAACTGATAAACTGATATATCAGATACTATCTCCTTTTCTAAAAAAAAAAAAAAAAAAGGTCTGATTATACATTTTTACACTGATGAGATCAAACTACTTCAGCATCAACAGCCTTCATTCAGTTGTACAGTACATAGGAGCAACACGTGTGCTTTATAACTCAATGGCCTGCTCTATCTCTGTATCTGCTGCCAAAAGGGAACAGGAGAAGAGACTGCTGCAGGAAGCTGAATAGAGGTTCTTTAAGTCTCCTTATCAACCATCTCTCTGTTTCTCTCTGTTGTACCTGTTTCCACGGTACAACATTTTTGATACACATCTGCATTTATATTTATACCTTGCTGTTCATTGCCCATTTCACATCCCTAAGAAGTACCACCAGTGGAGACAGAATAAAATAACCTATATAAATTTAAAATCATATTTGTCAGTTCTGCATTGTTGCAAGTTTTGTTTCTTCCAAAGGCAGCTATATAATTATAGGTACTTGGGTGCATAAAGCGATATGGAGGCTTCTATGGTAATTATTCAATTTAATTGAAAATTGTGTAGGGGAAAACTCTCATGTGCAGCATGCAATTTGCATCTGTTTTCCAAAGAATTTGAACCTGCTCAGGGTGATTTGTGAATTCATATTTTCCAGGAAGAGATAATATTCAAAATTCGGTCTAGGCCAGGGAAGGGATAGGGATAGGAGAGAAAAACTACGTAAGGGGGCTCTGTTAAGATTTATTTAGCCAATTAAAGAGTAAGACCATTTATCCATTTTTGAGAATCAACTCTCTCTCTAATTTTTACTGTCACATAAAGATTTTATGCTTCAAATGGAATAGCTTAACAGTTAAAAAGTAAATGGATACACAGTGTCCTTGAAGCTACAGGTTAGAGGAAGAAAAGACGTAGTACAAGGAAGGACAACAAAGAAATACTATAGGGAAGACCATGGCTCATCAGCAAAACCACATCCACAAGATCAAGTGTATTTATTTTCACATGTTTTAGCTAGCTGTGTTAAAATAATAATAACGATAAAGTTCATTCCAACTTTAAAACATTTTAGAGTGTCAAAATAAGACTTTGAAAGAAGCTAATATTTTTACATTCCTTAGCTATTAAAGTTAAACCATAATATACTTTCTTAAAGTAGGAAAAAAGACATGCTCATGTCACATGATTCTCATGTGTATGCTCTTTCAGGATTTCCACACTCAATTTTGTACTAGGAAGAACATGTCAAAATCCTCATGAAGACAGGATTTGTGACCCTGAAGGAGCCTGCACAGTCGTCTGTGCTATTAGATGCTCATTTTCTTATACTCCAGTGACCTGCCTATCCAAGGAAAATGGGTTACATTTGCGGCAATTTCCAATACAACTTACCAACTAATAACAGCAAGCAAACTAGGATAGCAATAAAGTGTTTAGTAATAGTCGTCCTAGCAATATATGTCACTTTTCCAAAGAAGACATGTCCTGGCAGTGCAGCTAGGGCAGAAGAAAAGGAAAACCTCTTTGGATTTTCTTCCTGCCATTTGCATCATGATAATGAATCAAATATTAGCCCTAAAATTACAATACATAATAAAATTTCTACTTCAAATGATGAGGATTTGAAAATCAACACAGAACTGCGGTTTCACGTTCACTAAAATCATAGCACTGGCCTTCCCAAAACAAGCATCTACTCCTCTTTCTCTGTCTGTATCATTTCAAGATTATACAGGCCAGGCACCAAAAATATCTCAAGTTAAATATAGTCCTTGTTACACATGTTTATCTTCATAAACATTAAATTGGATTGTATTCATGAGGTAGAGGAGAGGGAAGAGAAGGAGGTGTCCTTACCAACCATAAAACCTTCTTAAACTGAGCAAAATCTGTAGTTAACAACACACAAGAATTATAGTATGTAAGGACCAGCAGAATAAGGTAACATTAACAGCAAAAGCTGCACTGTATTTGGCTCAGTGCCGAGTGCCACTTCCATACTTAGGCAGAATATCTAAATTATAAAAAAGAAGAATAGGATTCCTAAGTTCAATGTCAATGACTGAATCACATTTCAGAAGTAAAATGACATGAATGTGCTTTTTACAGTATATGTCATTCATTTCGAATAAAATGGAGACTAATAGGAAACCCCTTGTCAAAAGGCACAGGACTCAGACGCAGACATTTCTTCCCATCTAACCAAATGACTGTTTCTGCTCGCATGCTCCAAATGTTACTTCTGCCAGAAAACGCCTTTGCAAGACAGGAGAACCAACTTGCTTATGAGAGAAGTAAACATGAAGGAGTCTCAACAAGGACAATCTTGTGGAGAGGTTTTTCACTGCATGGACAATTTGCTCTATTTTTGGTACTTGTTCTGCCACATGCTGACAGCTGTCATCTTCCTCGACTGCTGCTGCAGCAAGGACCCTCTTTTGATACTTTCTTGAGTTCACATGCTATCATTAACACTTAGGAATATCGCCAAGACATCAGAACTAGTAGATACTCTTGTGGTGGCTCAATAAACCAAGTATCAAAAGCACCACTTTGTAAAGGAAATTCCTTCTATGTATCAGTTTAAGAACATAAATATATACACATAGAAAAAGAAATGTAATTCCATTTTGAGAGAGATGGCAGAAAGCTTTCCATGTAGGATTTATGCTGTTCACTCCCCTAGGTATGCTCAAGACTGGAAATGTCACAGGCAAAATGCAAAGCTTTGTCAGTGTAAAAAGATTAAGTATCTCTGCTTGAAAGACCCAACTTTTTTCTTGGTTATGTTAGACATTTTCTTGTATAACAGATGCACAGTAATCCCTTTATAAACTAATCCTCAAGTATTCCTTACAGTCTCTAGGACAGAGCTGAAAGTTCAATAAAGAGTGTGGTCCCCTAAGTTTACACACTTCAACTGCTCATATTTCCTGTGGAGAATATAGATTGCTTTTAAGTACTTACTATGCTGCATGCCATCAAATTCTGTTGCTTCAATTCATTATATTAAAAAGTAGTACAAATGTTAATTATTCTTCTAAAAGTAGAGATTTATCTAAGGTATACACCAAATTAAACTCACAGCAAAATGGTTACATAGTTAAAATTAATATTTTCACAGTCCTCCTGTGTGCTTCTTGACACCCTTTAAAATGTCACATATTTTATAGAAGGTACAGAAGTTATTTGACATGTACGCCCTGTAAGAGATAAGTTTTCTCTGCTTTTGCATATATTATTTACCCACCTTACAGGATTAAATACTAGAGATAAAATAAAGGAGTGGGAGTCTGTATTAGTAAAGGCTACAGGATTAGACATTTGACACAAAAGTTTGCACCTTATAAACCTCTTACATTCACCGCTACATTCAAAAGGTACTTATGATTTCAGAGAAATTACAAGTCAAATGATTACACACTACAGGAAATTAGATAAAAGAATAAGGAACCACTTCAATAGCAAAAGGAGATTTAATTCAACTATTACATTAATACCAAGAAAAAAAAAAAAGCTTATTTTGATTGCAGCTTCTGCCATTATAAAATACCAGGTTTTACACTTTACTTCCATTCAAGTGCATAGATCCACAAAACATTTACTTCATGAAATTCAATCCTGCAAGGTGTTGCAAATCTTTGCAATCATTCAGCAAAGCATTTGGACAGCACTTAATTTTAAGCAGAGAAGCAACTGCATTTGTTAAATTACATCCCACAGTATGTAGTACTTTTCAGAATAAGGATCAATTAAGTATAAAATACTGTCCAACTGTACCATGGAAAGCAACACCAAAGCCTTGGCATTTCTGATGCAAGGTGGATATTTTATTCCTCATAACTTTCTTTTTCATTTCTTTATGGACTCTAAAGTAATCTTTAAGTTAACATTATATAAAATATAATCATTTGCTTTTTCACTTCAGATGAAAACATAAGTCTTAGAAATACATCCTGCTGCACTGACTATGCCCTTTTTAAAAAGTACTGGCATTTTCTTGTATTTATATAGAAAGAAGTAATTTTGATTTGACTGTTGCAATAAGTACTTTTATCATAGCAACTACATACTACACTACCAACGAAACAAAACTTCTGTACACTTGAAGCAAAATATAAACATGTACCTACATAGACACACAATATTTAAAGCAAGTTTATGGACTATTCTTTCCCTTACCAACCTCTCATCATCCAAAAATACTCTCCCAAGATATTTTGCAATATTTTCCAAAACAGTTTGCAATAAAAAATTCAAATATTATTGTTTTGCCCTAAATATATAATTTTACGCACAAGAAAACACTTCAGTGAGTGACCTGACAACTAAAGATTATTTAATAATTATAGCTGTGATCATTTTTTTCTGGCAAACACTGCCATGGTAAAATATTAAGTGGAAATGGAAACAATTATTTTTTTCAGAACAATGATGCAGAACCATGAGTTCAGGAAACAATTTACCTTTCTTGTCATCAAAGTACAACGTCTGTTGAGCTGGATTTGACCACTGGAGGGAGGTGTTATCATTTTGATCGACCCTGCAGGTCAAATTTGCTGTTCCTCCTTCCACTACCGTGACGTTCTGTGTAAGTGGAAACTGTCCTTGGCTGCCTAAAGAGGGAACGGAGGGGAGGCAAGGAGAGGGGAAAAACGAGAGAAGAAAAAAGAGAGTTAGCATCTCAGCTGTAGTACTGAATTTGTTGTAGCAACTGCCCACAGATAACAGTCTAAATTCAATGTGATTTGTCCAAAGAATAAGCACAATAAATGGAAAACAAAATATACTAGCAATAGAGATCATATCAGAGAAACTACCAGCTTAACTTAAGAGTTAGGGTAATTATTGTTAAGTCATATTAATTACCTTTAAGGCAATATTCTACATCTGTATTTCCTCAGGCATACATACAAACCCAAGCATCCAGAATATGCCTCTACACAAGGCTCAAATGCTACACACATACAAAGATGTCTCCGGAGAGATAATATAATTAAATGGTTATTTAAAGTATCACTAAAAAAAAAAAAAAAAAAGGGCCTCACACTCCACACAGGATTTTTTTTTTTTTTGAATTAGCAAAAAGGGTAGTCTAGACTCGCTGCTTCTTTTTATGCTTTTTAAAGAAGTCTCAGGACGCCGTGTTTCCTGGCAGCTCTGGAATGTCGTTGGAGAGCAAATGTAGTGTGAATTTAATGCTGGGCACATGAGCTGCCGAGGGGCTGGAGCCAGATCTCCTGTGAAAATGGAACTGATGATGTAGCAGATCCCAGAGCATCGTGGCTTGCACGAAGCGCATGCTGAAAAGTCACAGAGAAGTTTTCCCAAAGCCTCTGCACCACGTAGGAACTAGATCACACAATTCTGGAACTGAGAGTTTCAACTGACGTAGTGGGACTAATGTGTTGTTTTGTGTATGGAGAAGGTATTGCACGGTCTGTCAAATGGTACAACACATCCTGGCACGAACAACACAACAAGGGCGGGTAGTAAATGCTGGGGTTATGCTTTTCATGTGGGTAAGGAAAAGTTCCCAATGACAAGCAAGAAACAGCATTACCTGGGAGGTATGTTTAATGTATTCACACATACAATGTAAAAGACAGCCAAGTCACTACTTTTAAATTAAATAATCCTTCTTTTTCCAACTCCTTTTGTACAGGCCCCATTAATACCTCAGCTCCCATTAATCCCTTAAGACACTCAACATTAGGTAGAGCCGCTAGCACACACAGCCAAGACTGACACGCAAGTGGGATGTATCAAAAGCCAAAAAGCTCTCTACAGTTCTACAGGAGTGAAACTGTTCATAAATGTGTCACATACGTACACGAAAAAGAAGAGCATAGGAATATAAAATATCCACTATTTATACCAGTAGGAAATCCCATATAAAGAAGTGAAATCCTGCCGGAGTAATCCTGCTTTAGTGGCTCTTACCAGAGCTGTTCCCAGCAAAATTAAAATCTTGAAAGCAGGAACAGGTTCTACTTTCTTTTTTTTCTTTCTTTCTTTTTTTTTTTTTGGAAGACACAATAAAATTTAAATCTATTATTTACCATATATGTTTTCAGATGCCCAAAACATGGAACTAACAAGTAAGGAACTAATAACTAACCTACTATTTTACTTACTGATGTTGTCAAACATGGAATTCTAGCCAGGCTTTGGTAGCTGTCCATTATTCTACACAGAATGATTTTGATGGCCTTAACAAGGTATATGAGTGGTATATACAATACAGAAACCACTACTGCTTTGGTAGTTAAGAACACTTCACAAGGACTCCATATATATTTAAAAAATAATTTGACTGCTTAAATTTTAACATTCTGAAATAAACATTAACTTATAGAGGTAACCTTTCCTTAGCAAGGCCGACAATGAAATTACAGGAAAACTTTATAAAAAGCAAACAAATTCTTCACATGGATTTAAAAAATGAAAGGATTTTCATAGAAATGCTACAACTGCACAGCTAGTATTGGAACATAGAGAGAGCTGCACCATTTCTATATAAATATTAGCTTTTAGTAGATGTCAAATGATCAAAATTTGCTATATATTGACATTTACTGTAAAAGAATCTACTCTAAATAATAAATAAAGAATATTGGAAATACTATGGCTAATTTAAAAGATGCAAACAATAAATGCCAAAGTTTTCATGACATCCTCTGTATCTGACACTTCATTAATCAAACACAGCTTCTTGAAAACCACATGTTGAGAAATACTTGATGAGTGAAAAATCATAAACAAGGATGGAAAAGAAAGCAGAAAAGATTTGTCATTTCCTTCCATTTCTCCTCTTTCAATTCCAGTGTGTCAAGGAACCTCAAGATATTGCATAAATTGCTTATCGCTTAAATTAGAATTTTAAAAATCCAGAAAAAATGCACACAGCCTGTTATTACTTCCACTAAATTACAGGCATCTTACCAAAGAAATAACCTTCTGAAGAATGAGCTCTGGGTAAGAGGCTATATGGACTAAAATGTATTTTGCATACAAAAAGCTACTTTCATATCATTAACGAGAACCTAATTCCAGAGAAGAGTACAGTGAAATCTCCCACTTACATTAAAGAGTAGGTACGAAAGATGGTTTAATAAGGGACTGCTGTGCAAAGATGAGTCAGAATCCTATTAACACGAATTGAGAAATCTCCCTAGAATTACCCTTTCTTCTGTGTTTGATATTGTAGAGTCATTAATATGGACAGTCTTGGCGTGCATACAATCTACCACTTGCTACTAACGAACCTGTCACAGACTTGTTCAACCAGCACAGCCGATGGTAGGTGAACTTTCCAGATCAACCATTCAAATGGAAATTGTACGTATCGTGATTTGAAGTTAGGAACTGTCTTTTCTCCGACTACATTAGTCAGTGCTGATATTTTAACAGTTATATATCAATCTAGTATCTACACATAGTGATCTAACACTTAAAAAAGTGAAACTTATAAAAGTGAAATCAAAGCATTCATCCTATCCCTTACCACCACAGAAGCTGTGTGGATCTGGAGCAGAAGCACACAGCTTCACGGGAAACTTGGTCTGGAAAATGAGGTATGGAGAAAGCAAATCCATATAAACTAGAAATTAGCCCAAAGTGGAAGGAACCATGTGGACGAGGGAAGACAGAGAAACATGCATGAGATTTAATTTTACTTATGTCAGTGTCTTTCTTGGGTTACTGAAGTAGCAAGTGTGGAGCTGGAGGAAAAGGTTGTAAAACCAAATGCTTTCAGTGTTGGCGTAACTTACTACCACTACAAAAGGCTTTCACCTTCCCAGCACTGAGTACGCTAGTGGTTGGTGGTAAGCCTCAGGAATGGGGAAGCCCTAAGCCATTGCTGGACTGCAGCCAGCATATGCAGATTGCATAGGACTGATGCTTCAAAAGAAACACATTTTTCATCATCATTACAACACCTAGAGGCTACCACTGTGGTTCTCTGGTATGAACTCCTCTTAAGTTCTTAAACTTTCTTGTCTTATTTACTTCCTTAAGTCCGGAAGCAGAGATGGAACAAGACCATGTCCTTTAAAAAGGCTTTCCACCTTGACTTAAAAAGTCTATTAATGGAAAGCTTACTGTCACCTTTGTAACTCAAGTCAGTGAACAACTGTCATCATCGTCTAAAAAAGAAAATCGTGTTTTATTTCCAGCCTGAATTTGTCTCACTGCAGCACCTAGCATCTATTAGTTCCTGTTAAGTCCTTTTTTCCTGCTCTGAAGAGCCCTCTATTATCAAATTTTTATTTCTTTTGTAGGTACTTAGAGACTGTGATCATATCACCCATTAACCTTCTCTTTGATAAGCTAAATAAATTGAGCTCCTAAGTCTTTCTGCAGAAAGCATGTTTTTCTAATCCTTTAATTAGTCTGTGGCTCTTCTCTGTGCCCTCTTCAATTTGTCATCTTTTTACTCAAGTGTGAATCCCAGACCTGGACGCCCCACTGTAACAGCCACACAAGCACGAAATACAAAGGTGATACCACTTCTCTACCAGCACTTCATGTTCTTGTTTATATATCTAAATGAGTCCTCTAAATGCTACCACGCTACCAAGATAGCAGGTCTCCCATAGTGTGGGCGTTTTTTCACAGCCACTGCTCCAACTCCAGGCCCTCGCTCGCCTTCTATGGCCTCCTTTCGGAGCTCTCCTGGTCTGTCCCTTCCCCTGTTCCACTGCGCCAAAACATTCATCTCTGGGAGCTCAGTGACTGCGCTTGTCCATATTTCATGTATCACAGGTTTTGTGGCATGTGCAATCTTTACTGGCAACAATTTGGTTTTCTAGAGTGTTTCTAAAAAACAGCCCCCCAAAACACATGGATAGTACAGAAATACCTGTTCTTTCCAAAGCAGAAAACGCACAGAAATACAACTGTTCAGTCCTGTTGATTTCCTATTTATCACTAGAGTTTCACCACCACTTCCAATCACCTTCTAATCTGCTTAATGTTTGTCAGTTTGGTTTGGAATGAGTTTTGTCATTAATCGAGATGCTATCCTGTTTTAAATTATGGGCCTTAAAGAAAAGGAAACCTTTATTGTTTATTTCAAAATTATTTGATTATTGTTACCTTCTTCAGATATATCTATAATTTAAGGTTACAAAAAGATATTCAAAAATGGTAAAGAAACTCAAACAGAGCATGATACAATTCTCTGTTCATGTGGAATATTCAGTTGTCGGATAATGTCTGTAATTCTCTTCATGGTGGTGATGGAAGTGAGACATACCCCCACAGAACTAACCCAAATCTCAGTTTTCAAAATCGATTCCTAAATCTATCATTGATTTGTCACATGGCCTCAGGCAATCCAGTCGATCAATGCCTTGCTAACCAATTTGTACAATAGAAATATTGATGCTATTCAACTTATAAAAAGATTTGGATTTAACCAGGGTAGAAAACATAGTTTTTATTTTTATACATGTTTTCCCTGTTTCTCATCTGGTTCCATCACATGCTGATGATTATATGGGAGAGAAATACACACAGGGATATGGGGTTTGAAATAATGATAAAATTAACTTTAGAATGAGTCTATTAAGAGTTTGTTGATGAAAAATTATACTATTTTCTTTGATAT